AGTAGTAGTAGTAGTAGTCGTCATAGTAGTAGTAGTAGTAGTAGTAGTAGTAGTAGTAGTAGTAGTGGTAGTAGTAGTAGTAGTCGTAGTAGTAGTAGTAGTAGTAGTAGTAGTAGTAGTAGTAGTAGTCGTAGTAGTAGTAGTAGTAGTAGTAGTAGTAGTAGTAGTAGTAGTAGTAGTAGCAGCGGGAGCGCGAGAGCAGGGCGCGGAGGGGAGGCCCCCTGCAGAGGGGGCCCCCAGCGAAGGGAGCGCCCACGGCGGCGAGGCGCCTCCCGGCGCGAGGCGCGGCCCTCTGGCAAAGGGCCCCTTCGGCGAAGAGGCCCCGGCGAAGGCGCCTGCACAGCGAAGAGGGGCTCGGCCACGCGCAGAGGGGGGTGGGGGGAGGGGGGAAGGCTTCTTAGAAGCAGCCTGCTTCTAAGAAGCAGCCCTCCTCCCCCTACCCACCTCTGCGCGCCGCCAAGGGGCCGAGGGCGGAGCGGACTCCTTAGAAGTCAAAAAAGCCACCCCCACGTTAACCACCCCGACACGCGAAGTCGTTTAGCAAACGCGCCCAAAGAAGGAATCGAACAGGGCAGGGCTGTTTAATAAACGCCTAAGGCCGTTCAGTAAACGCCAATTGTCTTGTCCGGGTGGTTTTTCCTCCCTTGCCTCCTGAGGAAGACGGCCGCCAGCGAAGAAAGCTCCCATGGCGAGGCGGACCCTTCGGTGGCCACTCACGGGAGCCTCCCGTACCAGCTTGTCGGCTCTTGCGAACCGACGCTAATCGCTGCTACCTGCATCGATGCTAGTCGACGTTGTATCAAAGCTAGTCGACGCTAACCGACGCTAAATTGGCGCCATCTCACCAACTCCCAAACACTAAACGCTAAAGACGGAATCAAGAGGGTATACCAGGCTCCCATGATCTGCTACCGACGTAGGGAGGCGAACTCTATACACCGACGCTTTTGCCGGCACTGCACTGACATTTGCACAGGAAAGCGGATCCTGGTGCATACGGGATCCTGGTGTATACATGTGTTTTGTTGTTTCCCCTGGGAAACGGGGAAACAAAAATATACACCACACCAGCCCGACATCGCTCCCGACCTTCAAACAGTCCTGGGATTGAAACACATCCCGCCACTGGTAATGTATTTGCTCCAGTTTCCGACGAAGGACCCCACGGTTCGCTAATTTTTGGACAGCGAGCAGCTATCCCGCCCAGGTTGACTCGCAATGCAGTGCCGTGCGCACGGGGAGTGCCCATGGAAACAGTCACCGGAGGTGCAGGGCGTCTTGCGAAATGGGGGTTCTGCCAATTCTCGGAGTTCCGTCCTCTGCTCTCTGCCCACTCCAAACTCTACTGTTGCCGCCAAGTCTCCCAAGGCGTCGCGCTTCTCGGAGTCCAGCGCCACCGGGCGCTCATGCTTCGGCCAACACCAGACTGTTCGAATTAGACGGGCTTCGTGCTAGTCGCGATGGCCTCGCCCGTGTGCAGCTCGCTGAGGGCGGCCCAGCGAAAACGATACCATGGCGAAGAGGACGAAGAATCTTCTGCCAACGGCCACTGGTGCCCAGTTTGCCCCCTGTTTCGGCCTCCAGACGACTCCAAGAAGAGCCCGAGGCCGTCCCGACGCGGCTGCAGCACGCCCAACGATCGTTCAAAGACGGCCCACCGTGGCCGGAGAGGGTTCAGATATCTCCGCAAGGGGCTCCATGAGACCCCGAGAAGCCCCAGGAGACGCCCAAAGAGACCTCAAGCGGGGTCCTCAGGGGCGTAAACCGTAAACCGTTGGAAACCCAAGGGAAATCTATTGTTTATGCGCTTTCCAGTTGCGAAACCCAAGGGAAACCCAGAAAAACCCAAGAGAATCCGTTGAAAACTCAGGGGCATGAACCGTTGGAAACCGTTGTTTCCTGTACTTTGCGGTTTCGTATCGCCTCGGACGGCTTCAGGGAGCGCCCAGCACCACCTGAGACGGCCCAAGATGGCCTCGAGAGCGCCCCAAGATAGTCACGAGAGCACACTTTTCTGCTTCCAGACGGCTCCAAGACAGCCAGAGACCGCCCTGAGACGGCTGCAAGACGCAGCATTTGCCTTCGCCAGAGCGCCCAGCGTAAGGTCAGGGCACAGAATCGTGCGTAAGTGCTGCGGTCTGCACATGCCAGTCGACCTGTCCCTCCTGAGCGCCAGTCTGTAGGCGCACCTCGGGGTAAGGCTGACCGCCACGAGGAAATCCTGGGAAGGCACTTCCAGGGGAACGAAAAATAGCATCAACATAAAAACTTGGAGGTCCGCGCGGATTTCTCGGATCCGCGTTGGACCCCCCTGGCGGCGCCTCCGGCGCCGCCCCTGGCGCGCTCCGCGCGCCGGGGAGGGGGGTCCAGCGGCGATCCGAGAAATCCGCGCGGACCTCCGAGGTTTTATGTTTATGTCATTCTTCGTTCCCCTAACTTCAGAATCAGCCCCATGTTTTATGTTTTATGTCGTTATTATTTTTATGTTTATGTCATTATCAGCGCGCTTGTTCCTCAGGGCGAGGGAGGCCACCGCCTGCCAGCAGGGGCCTGCCAAACTCTGCGCGCTGCACTCGCAGGGTCCGCCGCGGCAGGCTGCAGGTCGAGAAGCCCGCGCAGCAGAGAACGAGACGTGTCCGGCACACGCAGCCCAAACTTGCCTTCGGCTGCGATGTTCAGCTGAACGGCTCAGTGAAGCGTCTTGAGCGCATGCAGGCCTACGCAAGCCAGGGATGCGTTGCCGCATTCGGGAGCACACCACACGCGGCGCTGCCCTACCGAACACCACAGCATCTAGCCCCCCCAAGAATCAAACCTCCTTCCTCCTCCTCCTTCTCCTCCTCCTTCTCCTCCTCCTCCTCCTCCTCCTCCTCCTCCTCCTGCTCTCCTCCTCCTCCTCCTCCTCCTCCTCCTCCTCCTCCTCCTCCTCCTCCTCCTCCTCCTCCTCCTCCTCCTCCTCCTCCTCCTCCTCCTCCTCCTCCTCCCTCTCCCTCTCCCTCTCCTCGCCCTCGCCTCGCCCTCGCCCTCTCCTCTCCCTCTCCCTCTCCCTCTCCCTCTCCCTCTCCCTCTCCCTCTCCCTCTCCTCTCCTCTCTCCCCTCCTCTCCCTCTCCCTCTCCCTCTCCCTCTCCCCTCTCCTCCCTCTCCTCCTCCTCCTCCTCCTCCTCCTCCTCCCTCCTCCTCTCCTCCTCCTCCTCCTCCTCCTCCTCCTCCTCCTCCTCCTCCTCCTCCCCCTCCTCCCCCTTCTCATACCACTCCCTAGGGGCATGCTGGGATTTATCTCTTGGCAGACGCAAGCATGCACAGCGGGACGAACGGAGCCGTCGCTGCAGGTTGAGAAGTCAGCGCGACAGAACGGGAGATGGTCCAGAAACGCAACTCCAACTCGCGCTGCATTGAGGTACACCGCTTGCTCTTGGCTGCGAAAAAAAACACAAGGCTCCGTCGGAAGGGATGCATTAGACATCCTGAGCGCCTGCAAGCTTCCATTCGGTGAGAATCAGTGGCGGCATAAAAATCGTCACTCTGCAATTATCTGGTTTCACAGGAGCCTTCAGCCGCTAGATGCGGCCACCCACTTACCGAGAAATCCGACTGGCGAGAAACAGAGAGAGAGAGAGAGAAGCAGTTCACGTCAGAAATGTACTGACCAAAAATGTAACGACCGTCCATAGCACAATGCCAGCAGCACTGCTGCTGACGGGTGAAACGTCAGGTACGCACAATGAGAGGACGAGGAAGGGAAGCGGAGACGGGAGGAGGAGAGCGGAAAAGGAAGGGGGAAACTTGAAACGGACCGAGCCTCCAGCCCCTTACTATATCAACGCTTTCACAATTCAATAGAAGCCTCGCCGTCTAGCAGAAGCATAAAGAAACGTTCGGCCGCCAGCCGGTCATTCACAGATGCACCAGGGCCTCTCGCCGGCATCCGAAGGAAGCCCACAGCACGCTCTGAGACAGATGGCGCCAGCTGCCTGCATGACACTCCTGGCGCCCGCCTTGGAGACCAGCGAGAAGCGGGGCAGCTCCTCAACCGTGAGGTTATCCGCCCAGAGCAGGCCGACTGCAGGAGAAGAGAAGAGGGGGAGGAGGAAGGGGGAGGAGGGAGAGGAGCGGAGGGGGAGGGAGAGGGGGAGGAGCAGGAGGAGGAGGAGGAGGAGGAGGAATGGGGAGGAGGAGGAGGAGGAGGAGGAGGAGGAGGAGGAGGAGGAGGAGGAGGAGGAGGAAGAGGAGGAGGAGGAGGAGGAGGAGGAGGAGGAGGAGGAGGAGGAGGAGGAGGAGGAGGAGGAGGAGGAGGAGGAGGAGGAGGAGGAGGATGTCGTTCTGATGCGACTGGCTCAGGATGCACCCCGGGCTGCTCCAGAGCATCCGTCGCGGCCCCCATTTCCATGGTTCCGCACGACAGCCTGGACACCAGCGAGAGTGCTACTGTCATGGCTTCTGTCAGCGGCGAGCGAGGGGGGTACCGCAGGTTCGTATCGCGCCGACCCCAGCGTTGGTTTCCGACACCGCGGGGACCGTTCAACATTGAACGATCGGCCGTTTCCGAAACCTCAGATCGTTCAATATCGACCGATTCCGGGTCGCCAGCAGCGTTCAACGTTGAACGCCAGTGGCGGGGTCGCCGCCGGTCGACACGGCGCGAACCTAGCGTAAGTGAAAAGGATAAGGCCCTCTCAGAAGGCGGCGGGGCCTCTCAGAAGCCTTCGGGCCTTCTGAGAGGCTTCCTGGATTTTCGGGGGAGGCTTCGAAGACTTCCCGGAAGGCTGAGGTGCTTCCGAGCCTTCTGAGAAGGCCCGCCCCTTCTCGCTTGAGCGACGATCAAAAGCAGGTTTCGCACGAGATGGCGTAGCGACCTTGCGCGGTGGCTTACCCAGGCCGCCCGCGCGGTACGCCACATTTGAAGCGAGGGCGCTCACGCGCGACCTTACGCGGGCGAGCCAACATCGGCGCAAACGACCCCGTTTCCCTGCGCCGCTCACTCCGCCCCCGGGCTCGCCACCGATTCCGGCCCCTCTCAGACAAGCCGGCGCCCCTGCCGCCCGCGCCCCCCGAGGGCGCCCGGCCGCACTGGGCCGCGGGGGCCCCCTCTGCGCTGCCCGGGGCAGAGCCCGCGGGCTCCCCTGGCAGCACGCGCCCGCGGCAGGACCTGGCCGCGCCTCCTCCTCTGGTCCTGGCCGCGGCTCCCAGCAGCAGCTGCAGGGCACGGAGGAGCAGCGATCGCTGGGGGAACCAACAAGGCCATATACATACTGACTCGGAGGTCCGCGCGGATTTCTCGGATCGACGCTGGGGCCACCTGGCGGCACCTCCAGCGCCGCCCCTGGCGCGCTCCGCGCGACAGGGAGGGGGGTCCAGCGCGGATCCAAGAAATCCGCACGGAGCTCCGAATTCTTATGTGTGTGCCATTCTTCCCTCCCCTAATCGCTGTCTGCTCGACTCCGTGCTCGACGTCGACGTCGACCGCCTGGCCTGCTGGTCCGCCTCCGCCTCCGCCTCCGCCTCCTCGGGCGCCGCTGCCTCTGTGTCCAACGCCCGGCGCCTTTCGGCATGGCCAGCCGCGTTGGCCAGAGGCCACAGGTCCAGCGTGTCCGCCGGGGGGCGCTGGCGCCGGAGCTTCGCCGGCTCCCTGTTGCAGTCCTGCCTCGTCCTGGGGCCCCTGTCCGTGCAGTACGCCGGCGCCGCATGCTCAGGGATGCTCGGCATCGAGGCCCGCGCCCGCGTCCGAGATGGCGAACGAGATGCGGTTCCCTGGATCCATGACGACGCAGAGGGGCCTTGAGCGCGACTGAAGCTGACCGCGGAGCGTGGCGTGCTCCTGGCGCCAGTCGCAGAGGTGCACTCCGCCGCCAGGGCCGGATGCGAGTGCCGGCGCTGGCAGGGGTCGGAATCGTTTTGTCCACAACTCGCAGTCACGTCGGTGAACGTCACCTCTGTCTTCCAGGGACGGCGTCCCAGAGCGGGCATGCGAGGACTCTGAAAAAATCCTGTCGGCCCCTGCACTGCGAGCAT